TAGTGATGGACTATTCACTAGAACGAACGTCCTGAACCGACTGCCTCTGCCCGTCGTGTGCTTTGTGTACGCGGCGACGGCAGCCGCAGCATTCGACGGGCAGACGCGGTTTTTATTGCTTCGCGGACAAAAAGCCCGCCCCGCCCCGTCGTCTGCAAAGCGCCTAAAGGTGCCATGCACGGTGGCGTGTTTCGTTCCACGCACTACAGTGTGATATTCTTAGCTTAGGTTGAACTTTTATTTGAATCTGCTAGCCATTGCAGAGCTTATTGTATTAACAGATAAGAGTATTACTACAAATAGATAAACAGACCCGCGCCATTTAAGATTAGTAGGGTTTACTGCGGACTTTTGCTGCAGAATACATAATAGACTATTTGGCAGAATGAAAAAAAAGTACCAATTATAACAATGTGAATTTATTTAACATCATCACGATGGTGCAAGTGGTTAGCGCGTTCGGCTGCAAACGTTAAGCAACTTTCGCAGTGGTCGGTCATTGGATGGGTGACCAAAATTTGGTATCTCAAGCTCCTCCGCGCTTCGGAAGGCACGTTAAGCCGTTGGTCCCGGCTACATAAGCAGTCGTTAACACCCACCAATCCGCACTGGGCCCACGTGGTGGGTCATGGCCCAATCTCCCTATTTCATCCATAGGGAAGGCCTGTGCCCCAGCAGTGGGGACATTAATAGGCTGATGATGATGATGATGTATTCAACATGAATATTAGGGGCGGTTTCAATATTCTGCCAAAAAAGCAGTTGATAAAATACTAAAAGTTATGATATAGAAAAGCACTTCTAGAGTGAAACTTCTTTCCGGGCGGGGTGTAAAAGGAAAAATCCTATGGCAAAGATGGAACGGAAATGCATCACAAGCGTCACACGACTATATATTATACTAGCTGACCCAGCGAACTTCGTACCGCCATAAAAAAATTTAATTAAAAAAACATTGTCCAGCGGACAAAATTGTGAATCTAAACCATTCTCAGATCCCCTTGAACACACACAAAAAATTTCATCAAAATCGGTCCAGTTGTTTAAGAGAAGTTCAGTGACATACACACTCACAGAAGAATTATATAAATAAAGATATATATATCGTGACGCATCTATAGGATACTGCAAACAATTACAAAGCAAAAACAATGGAGAAATCATGAACACGCCATTTTGTCATTTAAATCTTCTTAAATATTCTGATTTTCTTCCTTACGTAATCAACTTTAAATACAGCTTTTCAATAGAAGTACCGTCAACACATGATTCATAATATAAATCATATAGAAACACCCGTTGGAATGGTTGGAATAGTTCAAACCCAAGCATTTTTGTCTGTAATATAATCAGACACTTTATAATAAGCTTTCTTAACAAGACTTTTTTTATGGTCGATTTAAATTTAGTCAGGCTTAACTCTTGCTTGGGACTTTATTGTAAAAGCGAACACAAATTATTTATTTTGCCTAGTAGCAGGTAAAGTTAACTTATAGTGTGTATGCTGCTAGTCGCAGATGACCTACGAGATATAAACAGGGCGTCACAAAATGTCTTTTGCCATAGCGTGTGGTGAGAGGGAGAGAGAAATGTTTTTTTTTTCTCTTCTCTCTTTTTAAATGGCTGTGGCAGAGATATTTTGATACGTTCAGCCAAGCATGTTGTTTTTATTTTTATTCCTGGTTTTTTATTTTGTTTTCTATTTTTTATGTTATTTGTTGTTCTTGTTGTTATTGATTCGTGCGACACCAAACCGGTTCCAACGGAAGACCAGCGCTAATGGCGGCAACATTAGCACTATGCTGAGTTAGGTCCGTTTTGAGACTAAATTTAATTGTTTTATTTAATTTTTTATATTATTATGTTTTTTGTTGTCTCAAATAAAATTATTTCTTTCTTTCTTTCTAACAGATGAGCAGATTTATCTTCGTTATTTTAAATTACTTATCACATAAAGAAATACCTCTACTGGTTTCCGAATCCAGATCCTGTGGAACACCAAACGGTCGTGCGCCTAAATTCAATGAGCTCAATATTCAATGAGCTGTAAAAACTCTATTTTGTTCCAATCGCTATAATTGCATTACCCAATAAAGTAAATTTTTATTGGCTTGCAAGTTAATAAGAAGAGAAAACAACCTGTTGATTGCTCGAACAATCGATTTGTATTCACAGGTACAATTTAAACGTGAAAAGTATTTTTGTATTGTGTAAGTTTGCACGTATAAACCGCTGAATATAATTTGTTAAATTTTGGTGCGGAAAAGAAGGAACATTACAAAAGCAAATAGTCTACATTTTGTTGTTAAAATCACACTAATATTATAAAGGCGAAAGTTTGTGAGTGTGTATGTTTGTTACATCTTCACGTCTTAACAGCTGGAGGGATTTTAATAAAATTTGGTATGGAGTTAGCTGACATCCTGGATTAACACATAGGCTTCGTTTTACTGGGGGAAAATATCTCTAATAAACCGCGGGTATCACCGCGGGGTACAACTAGTGAAACATAAAGTGGTGAAATAACGGATGAATTTTTATAACAGACGAAATCGCCGGCATCCTCTAGTGAATATCGAACCAGCCTCTTTGCCACGTTATTAGACTGGTATGAAGCGAATTGGTGTGGCGCGTGTAAATAGCCCACACCTGGGGTGGATTACACCGAAAGAAAATTGTGTGGTTCAATACCTAAAAAGGAAGCGCCCACTTACCTCCAGGACGATGGGTTGTGTGGTCTCCAACGGGCGTAACTTGAGGCGGCTGGACTCTGCTTTGCCGTCATCCCAGAAGGCGCAAGTCACAATTATATTTCAATACATTCTAACGAATATTTCAATAATCTTATAGAGTCCGAGAGAAAAGTCGTATTGACAGTTTTTGAAGGAAGAGAGCAAGTCACTTTTTTACACGAAAGGCACCATAAACAATGTTTGTTCTGGTAATCAGCTAGTGCCCTCAGCGTCAGCGACATTAATCCCAAAGATAAGTGGGCGCGAGAAGTTTTCTGGTATATCGCCACACATAACAGAATAGAAACTTAATTTTACCAATTAAACTAAAACCATCCTTATGGCGCTCGACCACGAATGAAAACATTCTTATTTCTCTTAGGTAATATTTCTCTATCTGTCCTATGTTATAATTTATGTAATGGCAGAGATACATATTGTAATAAAGAAACTTCAGTTCCGTGCTACAGCCCTGTTGCAAATCGTAAAATGTTCATTCTCCGTTTCAAGGCACAACTTGGAAAATGTTTGATGAGTTAGTTGAAATTGAAACACATTTACCGTTAACGTTCTAAAATTGAACACAATTAATACATACATTGTAAAACCAGTCTACAATTGTGTAAGCTTAACGCGTACATTCTAATGGATCAAGATTATACATCAGAATAGAAATCGTTAGTTAAGGTCGTACGAACAATATGTGAAGGCTCAACCATTATTATGTGACTTCGTACATAACGCTTCGTCAGGGTAACGAAATTTGTGTACATACGTCGATAAACAAGTTTGCCTATACAATGGAAACTGTTGACGACACAGAACATAGCTCGTGAGAAACTAAAACTAATTCCAAAGTCATCACAACTGCCAGTCTGATGAACACTCTGCGCAAATCAAAGGAATTTTGTAACTACTTTGAAATTCATGCATAAAACACTGGCAGAACCGAGTAATAGGGTCCTGATTACTATATTTTCCATGAATAAGTCTGATTCACATCATGTTATAAGCTCGTTAATTAGTTTCGTCAAACCATGTATGAAAAGTTAATTAACAATTTGTATAGCTAACAAATTAGTCCTGTTTTCACAGAGTTAAATGCAAAACTCGATTCAGGATTTGCAGTGCATTATCCATTACAGCAAATAGGTATAGATCATTCAGAACATCGCATCGGTGTAAACATGGCTGGAATATTACATGAAGTGCCCGGGGTTGCGATAAATTATGAGGCTTATTCTAAGATTCACCTTATTTACTTTAGACATTTAGTTTCATGGCGAGGAATTGTGTGCAAACAACTTAATATTGAGATCTTTAATTGACTCCGATCCAAATAATACTGTTAATTTTCGCGAATACCAATCTTTAAATTACTCAGTAAATTGAAATATATATTCAATTTATAATAACATTAAGCTATTTTTTTTTCAGAAACGCGAGAAGTGAAAAATTTAATATGCAGTAAGAAGAAACTCGAAGATAGTTGTGACAAAGATGTTGCACAGAACGTCATCATCGAGGCGTCGCCGAGCTTCTAGAAGTGCTGCTACATCACCCCAAGCTCGATCTCCTAGATCATCTGCCCATCCTTCAAGGAGAGCATCGCTGGCAACCACAGAGACTGATGATGAAATTGAGCCACCACCACCGCAGAGAAGTCCTAGAGCCAGCTTAGCTCCCGAATCCGCCCTCGATACATATCACAGGAGTCCACGCCACTCTTTAGTACCTGAAATAAGATCAGCCAGAAACTCAATAACACCAGATACAGCGCCTCAAATTAGGAATACTCTCGCACCAAGTAGGAACAATTTATGTGTTGACCTAGCATACGGGTCAAGGTTAAGTTTAAACCCACAGGATTTTAATAGAAGTCCTCGAAACAGTATTACGCCAGATATGTCTGCGAGAAGCCCAAGAAGGAGTTTAATTCCAGAAGGCACATCGTGGAATCAACCGAGAAATTCCCTCGTCCCAGATGTAGGTAGAAGTCCTAGGCATTCGGTAGCGAGTATACAGATAGATCCCGCAAGGAGTCAGAAAGAATTAGGTCCCAGTCCAAGGACAAGCCCTAGGGGATGTGCACCAGATGCACCTGTAAAAAGTAAAGATATCCCAGAAATCAATAGGAGTCCAAGAGGCTCTTTAGTACCCGATTCACAAAGGAGTCCCAGGGGAAGTATTGCACCATCAGAGAGGAGTGCAAGAGGGAGCCTGGTGGCTGCGGATGGCGATGCTTCCAAAATAAGTCCAAGAGGAAGTCTCACTTTAACATTTCAAGAACCTTTAATTTCAAGAGAAAGGCGAGCAAGTGAAGATAGTCAAGCTGCAAGTAAGTTTTATGTTTTTTTATTTATACTGAAAATTTTCATATACTTTTATTTCTATTATAATAATAATAATAAACAAAATTATTTAACATGTCTCCCGATTATCTATACCAAGTTCTTAAAGACACAAAATAACATTGTTAAAACTATTTTGTGACTCAAACTTCTTTGGCTCCGAAACTATGTAATTAGATAGATTAGATTGATGTGTAGCCTAAAAGCCATAAATGATTCAGTACATTTACTTTCAAGTTTAATGGTCTGTGCTCAAAGATTCTGGATAATCAAAAACACATTACCTATATAAATCAAGGCTTTGTTTATCAGGTAATCGAGGTCGGAGTGTGTCGCCGTACAGAGCGTCGCTTGGTGGTCGTCAGAGTGGAACGGGGGTGCTATCTGATGCTGGATCAAGGAGAGCATCAAGTTCAGTTAGTCAGGTCAGTGTTATTCTTATTTGTGAGGTCATTGAAAAACAAAAGAAATTCTCTTTTTGTTCTCAGTACAAATGCTCTTAACATAGATCTGCGAACAAATTGCGTAGTTTTTTATCATTCATAATGTGTTTATAAAAGTTTTTATGAATAAATTAATTTCACCATTCAGGGGGTTGTCTTACGAGACCATTTACGAGTAGCTTTCAGATGATTCGCCTCCTTGTAGATATGTCGTTGGCGACCGCTTGGTGAAACAAAAGCGATCCTGCTTTTTGATCCAAGGCTTTAGGGAGATATTGCGTAGCGAGTATTCCATTCGAACTGGAGCGCCTGTCTAGGGAAGTTACCCCTTTTAAAGAAGACCGTGGGGAGATACTTACAGAAGTAGTCCTTTAGGTGGTGTCGTATTTCTTTCAGGAAGTAAGACTAAAAGACTCCACGAGGTTTGAGATGAGGTTAGTTCAGGCTCCGCGCGTGATAGATTTTGGTATCAAGCATACCATATTTATATGGCGGACGCTTGCGTAGGTAGACCATAAACTTGCACAAAGGATATGCTTCTCCAGTCAACATAACCTTGCATTCGTGAATTCAATCTATTAAATGGAGCTTTATATCCTACCTATATGTAGATGTTACTAGACGGAAAATTTTGTAAAAGTCTTTTTTTTTATTTCTCTCTCGCTCTTGCATGGTAGTATGAGCAAAGAGCAAATAAGGCATGGAATCATAAAATAATGGTGCATAGATAAGTTTATAGAAGATTAATACCAATCATATTTCAAAGCCTTGGTTATAAACGTTTTATACCCATTTAAGTCCCGTCTGCTGCCGGGTCCGCGTGAAATTTTGACTAGTAAAAAAAATGATATTTAGATTTAAAATATCAACTGTTGTTTCATAAATATACATAACAAAGTGAATTATAAGAGTGAGGAGCTCGATGGCGCAAGTGGTTAGCACTTTCGGCTGCGATCGTTGAAGTTAAGCAACTTTAAAACCGTGCTTAGACCAGGGTTTTTTCACGCCCGATCAACTGTGCTTGTTGTACAAAACGCAAATGCGGTCCTGCGTGAAATATTGGTCGCACCTCTGGGAGGGCTCCGCCAAGTACTTGCTCGATGCTTTGGATAGGTTACAGCGGAGCGAGATCCGCATCATAGGCGATGAGGAGGTGCCTTAACACCTTGAGCCTCTTCATTTACGCAGTGACGTGGCGTCACTAAGCGCGTTCTATCGTCTGTACCACGGCGAGTGTTCTGAGGAGTTATTCTCTCCTATCCCACCTTCCCCTTTCTTTCAGAGGACCACGCGCGCTGGCCTACGTTGTCACCGTTTAACTGTGGCCACAATTCCAACACGTACAAAGAAATTTGGTGACTCATTTTTCTTTATCGCACTATCCGTAAATGGAATGCTCTGCCCGCTCACGTGTTCCCTCCCTCTTACAACCTGAGATCCTTTAAAAGAGGCGTGAAGAATCAACATGCAGGCCGGCAGGGTGAGGATAGCTGACGTGAGGTAGAACTGCTGTATCGGTTATCTTCTCGTCTGGATTTCACCTTCACTTAACATCAGATGGAGTGGAGTCATTTGTCGGACCTATCTATAAAAAAAGGGGTAGAAAACTTCTAGTTAACACAAATGCTCTCAAAGAGCTCAAATATTTGCAAAATAAGTCAAACAACTTCTTCAACTAAACAGTTCTTTCGGGAAAACTTTCTCTTGATAAATATCAAAAAATATGTTACACTTTGTTCACTCAAATATCTAGCTCATTTCTCTTTCAGTAAGAAAGGCTGGAAACCCACGTCGAAAGCTAGAAAATCAGTCCCGTAAATGTACGACCAGGTGTCTTATCTCTGAATAATAAATAAAATGACCTAAGAAACGGCCCGACAAGGAACTCTGTTAAGTTTTGTGAATATAGAATACCTGCTATAGACCCAAACACTATATTGTCTTAAACTTTCATGGTTACTAACATTACAGTAATATAAGTTATTAACGGGATTGTTACCATGTACCTTGTTTTTGCGAGTTTCCGATATTTCGGCACGTTTGCAAGCGCCATGATCACGGAGTAACGGAAGTAATTGCGGGTACGCTGTTATTGGCAGACACATCGGTCTACCCTCCGACGAAGTCTATTATTGCGTTCGATACCCGTACCACTGTTCATATTCTTACTATTCACTCGAAACTGTTCTCGACACACAACACTTACAGTATCGGATCGCGACACGACACTTTTTTAATTATTTCCGGTTTTACACATATGAACCAGAGGATTTCAGACACTCGACAATTTAAACCCGTCCTCACGATGGAAATTTTTATGTTTTGTTATTTTAGACCCAAACACGTTTAAATTCTAATAATCAAGTATTATAAAACACAATGATGAACATAACCTGGCTCCTTAGTTTATGTACAATGTTTTATTTATTTATTTATAGTCAGGCAACGTAGGCCCATAGATACATACCTTTTAAAGTGTAACATATATTACAGGTATAAAACATCGTAATTAGTAAATAAACTTAATACTTATGTTCATCATCAGCCTCTTAATGTCCCCACTGCTGGGGCAAAGGCCTTTACTATGGATGGAATAGGGAGATTGGGCCATGACCCACCACGCGGGCCCAGTGTGGATTGGCGGGTGCTAACGACTGCAAATGCAGCCGGGACCAACAGCTTAACGAGGAACTCGAGTAAGAAGATTTTTGGTCACCCATCCAATGACCGACCACTGCGAAAGTTGCTTAACTACAACGATCGCAGCCGCGCTAACCACCTGCGCCATCGAGCTCCTCTGCGCCATGGAGCTCCCCATACTTATGTTAGTAAAAACTTAATGTCCGGTATCCGGCCTCGGAAACCTCGGAACACAACACCTTTGGGCCAAAGCTTTTCTTTCATAAAATTCGCTAGATGTTTGGTTGGTACTCTAACCACGAATGTATTAAAATTCATATGGATGGCTAGATTCCAACCGTGCGACTCTCAAGGAGATCGTCTTGATCCGCAGATACTCTACGATCAGGGCCGTCTTTAACCTATTATTTTTATATATATTCACTTCCGGACACATCTATCGGCCCATTTAGTGTTATAAGTTTCAACAGTCTGTAGCAAAATACAATTAAGTTAGGCTGTGCCATAATAATATACTTAAAAAAAACGATAAATGGTTAATAATAAAGCAGCTTCAAAACTGCTTAAAAACTTTTTTCTCAATGTAATATAATTTATTATTATCTAGGGACCGTCACAACCATATAGGCCAAAACTTAAAATGCTAGGTGGGTCGATAGATGTGTCCAGGAGTATATATATACTAGCTGACTTCGTACCGCCATAAAAAATAGGGGTTGGTGGTAGAAGGGAGAAAACTTAGGGTTGTATATATTTTTATATGATGTATCAAAAAAAACAAAAAATATTGTACAAAAAAAATTTAAAGGTGGTTAACCCTTAACATTTAGGGGGATGAAAAATGGATGTTGTCCGATTCTCAGACCTACCCAATATGCACACAAAATTTCATGAGCATCGGGAAAGCCGTTTCGGAGGAGTTTGTGGTTAACACCGCGACACAAGAATTTTATATATTAGATATAATATATATTTATTAATGACTTTGATGTGGATTATGACTTGAAATGGAGCGAATCATACTGATGAGTGTACTACTGATGATTTTTCTTTAAAACGTGTATGTGCTTAGTATACCATTATATGTATACTAGCAAACCAGTGAACCATATGTTCACCAAACAAAAATGTATTTAATTAAATGAGAACTTCGGAGACTTTGTGCGGTTTCGTTTGAAATAGAAATCACGTGATTTCTCGAAAACCGGAAGTGCTACGTTACTCACATCCGGTTTGTAGTCTTATCATACTATTCTTAACTTATACCTTAAACATTCTCTATATCTATCTCTTACGGTTTGGCCGCTGAAACAGCACCACGGACGGACGGATGGACGGACGGACTTGTCTAATAGATAAGAGATTCTCTATTCACATCGTAGTACTATTGCAGATTCTATAAAAAACCTATTATTGGCCTTGTTATTAGATAGAATATATTTTTGTTAAAATGTTGGTTTTCTGAATAAATAGAATAAATAAAAAAAGCTCTACGCTTAAATTTGTCTTAGACAAATCATTTTATCTTACATTATTGTTCATCCAAAATCAATGAATTTAAGTCTATTGTAAAGTTTTTGATGTAGATTAGATCCTTGCAGATATTTTAATTATTATTTAATGTTATGACAAGGCCCTAGAACCAAGTTAAATAAATCAATCAAGCTAACATTGTCTATTGTTTTAGGATATCGTACATTCACTCATTGCTTTCTATTAATTGATCTCCTTCGGATGATCCAGTGACATTCAAATTTGAACCTTGCTGGGTTAAAATGAAGTGGGAATTCCAACTTTGATTCACGATAAAAGATAACAAATCTGATCCGAGATTTTGTGTAATAATGGAGAGGGTGTCAGACTTCTATCGGAGAGATGGTGTCACTTTAGCTCTTTCAAGTTTAATACTTTAGGTTAGCTTTGAAGTACAAAATAAAAATAGCAACACACAGTACCTTTTCTTACTACACTTACCTTTGGGATGGATATACTAATAATTAGGGCGCAATAACACTTGGTTGAGGAGCTCGAATGCGCGGGTGGTTAGCGCGTTCGGCTGCGATCGTTGAAGTTAAGCAACTTTCGCAGTGGTCGGTCATTGGATGGGTGACCAAAATTTTTCTATCTCGAGTTCCTCCGTGCTTCGGAAGGCACGTTAAACCGTTGGTCCCGGCTGCATCTGCAGTCGTTAGCACCCACCAATCCGCACTGGGCCCGCGTGGTGGGTCATGGCCCAATCTCCCTATTCCATCCATAGGGAAGGCCTGTGCCCCAGGAGTGGGGACATTAATAGGCTGATGATGATGATGAACACTTGGTCGTTGGCTCGTATACGGATTGCC